AACAAAAACCTAGGAATAAACATATTAACTATTATCATTCGTACTGTCTAATTGTTATTGAATTATTTAATACAAGGGATTATTGGAAGAGAAATGACTATAATTTTATATGAGTTATTAGTATGCCCAAAATACATGGAATTAAAAATACAAAAGAAAATCAGCAAGATTGTGATTTTAAAATGACATTAAATTTAATACCAACATTCTAGACTGTATAAATTACTGTAGATACTGAGAACCTGTTGTATTTGTGAAGTTATAGCCCCATCTAGGGGTCTTTCATAAGGTTGCTTCTTGAAAGGTGGTTAAGTTTCTAAATCTGTCATTTGTTTCAAATTCACATTTTCAAAATTGAGATATGCTTTTCTGATTACGAAGTTGGAACTAAGGAAATACTAAAAAAAAAAATTGGCCAGAAGGCGTGTTCACTCACTAGAGACAGAGAGTCAGAGAGAGAGGGAGTGGGAGAAAGCACTCTCCAAAGTGGTATAGTCATATCACAATCCCTTCTCCTCCATCTTTGGATCCTGTCGGGATTTTGGGCATGCATGCATGCATGCATAATGTGCTTTTCAACCCATGGCACCAGGATTCAGACCACCTGGTTGGCCACGAAGGGTCAGGCTCCTTTAATCACCAGGCCACTGGGCTGACCCACCAATGAAACATTGTTAATTTTTATTGGCAGGTTTCAAGTCAGATCATTTTATTTGATTTTAGATGCAGAATAAAGCACCAGGTGCTTGTGTTTCAGAATTTTAAAAGGTGTATTCCTCCAGTGCACACAAATGCCAACTAATTTTTGATTTTGGGAACTATACATCAAATGAGAGGAAAGGGAATTACCTTCCTTATACTTCCTATAGTATGGGAACTCCTTTATTGTGTGGGTAGGATAAATCAGTAATGTGGGCAATAGAATTTATAAGAACAAAATTCACAGAAGAATGGAATTAACCAAGAATCTAAAAAATATACAAAAACATAGTGTAGAAGGGTGATATTCATAGAAAATATGTGAATTTATGTATTGGCTTATGTACATATTCTCTAAATGGTTCTCACTTGTTCTGGTTCTATGCCCATTGTTTCTGTAGTAATAGCACCTGAGTCACTCTCAGTGATGTCCCTGGTTGGATGATGAATTATGTGTTTAAGTTCATTGTATAGAAACTTCATTTATTAGTCTAAATAAGTTTTCCCAGAGCAATGCTGTCTAGTAGAAATATAATGCAAGCCGCATTAAGTAATCTTGAATATTTTTGGTAGTCATACTGAAGAAAGTAAAATAAAATTAATTTTAATAAATATTTGTATTTAACTCAATACATAAAAAATTTGTTTCAAAATATAGTCAGCATGAGAACCAGCAATTAGCGTAATGGCTATGTCACTGGACTCCCACGTAGTCGACCATGGTTCGCGTCCCAGACCCGGTGGCTTAAAACTCACGCCGGGTGCGTGTGCGTGCGTGCCCAAGATCCCGAGAGGAGAATGGAGGAGAAGGGATTGTGGCGTGACCATCCCCCCCTGGGGGGTGATTTCTTGCTTTCTGTCTCTATGTCTCTCTCTCTCTGTCTGGCGAGTGCACATGCCCTATAGCAAAAATACCTCTCCAAAAAATAAAGTGTATTGGAAATTTGCAAATTTAAATAAAAAAAAGTCAGCATAAAAGTATAAGCAAGATATTTTATATTCCTTTTTTTCATAGTAAGTCTTTAAAAGTAGGTGTGTATTTTAGACTGATTGCATATCTTAAATCTGGTTAACCATGTTTTAAATGCGCATTGGCTGTCATATTAGTGTAGCTTTAGAGTTTGATTTTGATGGACCTTATTTATGTAGCTATTAATTTAATTTGGAGCTATGATATTTAAAATTACTTATGGTAGAGGGCATGTACGCTCACCAGAGAGAGACAGAGGAACAAGTCCCCCTCATGGGGAATGGTCATGCCACAATCCCGTCTCTTCCATCTTTTCTCCCTTTTTTGGGGTTTTGGATACATATGCTTATGTGCCTGGTGCATTTCTCAAGTTGCTAGGTCCGACTTGAACTGAATAACCAGATATGTGGCATGCAGCTGCCATAATCATCAGGCAGTGGGGTGGCTTGGAGCTATGATTTAAACCAAAAGTTAGCAAACTTTTTCTGTAAAGGATCAGATAGTAAATACCTCACAGTTTGAGGGTTGCACAGTCTCTATTCCAATTTTTCAACTCTGCTGTTATAGTACAAAACTAGACACAGTATGTGAATGAATATGTATAAGTCTGTGATCTACTAAATTTTATTTAGCAAACAGGTGGCTGTAATATGTCAATCTCTGATTTAAACCATAAAGTTGAGGTATCTATATAAATTTAAATACATTTCACAAAGTCAGGAAATATACCTTAAACAGATGAAAAGATTAAAAGTTGAAACTGCAAATGACATCTAAATGAATCTAGGATTATTTCAAGAAGAAAGTTGTAAAATTTGGGGTTAAGGTGGGATATAGGTCTGAAGAAGAATAAATGTAGATTTAGAAATAATGTGGAGGCAAGTTACAAGGAAGATCTGTTCATGTATATTCTTGTTTTTCTGCCACTTTAAATTTCTGACATAAATGTCACTTACTTTTTTTGAGAGATTTTTCTATAGAGGGCATATGCTTGCTGAAGAGACAGAGAGACAGAAAGCTAGAAATCACTCCCCGGGGATGGCCATGTCACAATCTCTTCTTCATCTTCCTCTCAGAAAATGAACATGCACACAGCATGAGTTTCAAGCCTCCAGGTCTGGGACTTGTACCATGGTTGACTGCACGGGAGTCCAGAACCTTAACAACTATGCCACTTACTGGTCCCCATATAAGTCACTTGTAAGAGGTTACTTCAGAATTATGCCCAGCTAGATGAGTGGCAATTGAAGATATCTTAATTGCTTTACCTATTTCTTTCTTTGGAAGAAAGAACTTTATTTTATATAGTGATGAAGTATGATTATATATAGCATTTTGATGTATACTTAAGTTTTTTAAATTAAAATTTTTAAATTTATTTTTTGTACATTCAACCACTGTCTATTATTACAGCTTATAAAATGAATTTTCCCAGTATGAATACACTGTATATTAGTCCAGTTAAAGGTATTATCATACACATTATCATCTACAGGTAATTTTCCATTGTCATGTCCTTTGAATGTTTTGCCTTTTTCCTCCCTTAATTCCCTTCCTCTCACCTCCCACATTTTTTACCATTCTCCCACACTATATCTAATATCTTCAGTTGTTCTCCATGCTTTTATATCTTCCAGTCTTTCAGTTTCTGCCATAGAGTGTGGACATTTGGTATATATTAAGTGGGGACATACAATGTCTCTTTCATTGTCTGGCATGCTTCACTTAGCATAAATCTCACGTGTTCATCCACTTTCTTATCAAATGCCAGGGTCTCATTTTTTATGGCTGAGTAGTATTCCATAGTGTATATGTGCCACATTTTTTCAGTCCATTTATCTACTCATAGACATTTAGTTTGGTTCCATGTCCTAGCGATTGTAACTAATGCCACAATAAACATGATGTGCAAGTACTTTCCAACTGAGTGTGTTCCTATCCTTCACATAGATATCCAGGAGTAGAATTGCTGGGTCATGTGGTAGTTCTATTTGTAGGTCTTTGAGGAATCTTTATATTGTTCTCCACAGTGGCTGGACTAATTTACATTACTACCAACAGTGTAGAACAGTTCCCTTTTTACCACAGACTTGCCAGCACTTACCATTTATTATTTTTTTAATCTTAGCCATTGTTATTGGGGTTAGGTGATAACATTGTGGTTTTGATTTGCATTTTCTTTATGACAAGGGATGTTGAGCATTTTTTCATATGATTTTTGGCTGTTCATATGTCTTCCTTCAAGAGGTCTCTGTTCAGCTCATTTGTCCATCTTTTAGTTGGGTTGGTTATTCTTATTTTTGGTAAGTTGCATGAGTTCCCTTTATATTCTGGTTATCAGTCATTTTTGTGAGGCATAGTTTGTAAATGTATTAGGATTGCCGATTCACTCTAATTATTTTTGTGAAGCTTTTTAACCAGATGTACTCACATTTGTCTATTTTTGGGATTATCGTCTGTGCGTTAGGGGTCTTATTTAAGAAGTCTTTGCCTGCTTGAGTATCTCTAAGAGTTTCCCCTGTGTTATCCACTAGGAGTTTTATAGTTTGAAGCCTTGGGTTTAGATCTTTGGTTCATTTTGAGTTGATTTTTGTTAATGGTGAGAGATGGGGGTCCAGCTTCATATTTCTGCAGGTGGGTATCTAGTTTTTCCAACACTATTTTTTTTTTTTTCGAGAGGTTTTTGCTATAGGGCATGTGTGCTTGCCAGAAAGACAGAGAGACAGAAAGCGAGAAATCACCCCCCAGGGGGGATGGCCACGCTGCAATCCCTTCTCCTCCATTCCCCTCTCGGGATCTTGGGCATGCATGCACACATGCCTGGCATGAGTTTAAGTTATCGGGTCTGAGACTTGAACTGTGGTGTACTATATGGGAGTCCAGCAACATAGCCATTATGCCAACTGCTGGTCCCTTCAACACCATTTGTTAAAGAGGTTT